AGTCTAGTAACCAATGGGAAAGGAGAGCTAAAACCAGACACTGCCAAGAGGTTTGGAGTAGGGCTGTGCAAAATTTCACCAGGTGTTTCGTTTCAACGCTGTTTCGACTCATTTCGAGCTCAAAACAGTGAAACTGAAACAAAATGAAAAGCTTCGGAACAGCCGAAGGGCACTCAAAACGTTTAGAAAGTTTCGAAACGTTTTGAGTTTTGACGCTGGGCTTGCTTGCAGGGAAACAAAAACTAAGGCGAGGAAGGGGTAAGAGGGAAGAAGGACTACTCTCATATTGACATGCATAGCTGGCCAGTGACTGTCATCCTTCCCTGAGGTCCCTTCCAATCCCAGTGCTCTGAGGGAGGGACAGAAAAACAACTGTGCCTTAACACATACATAGTGACACGTCATGAGTTTTGATTGTCAGCAGTTTGAGGTACAGTTTCCCAGAACCCCCTGCACCTGTTTCCTTGAAACTTGGCAGGCTTCTTGGCCTCAGAAGGGGATACCATCCCTGCAAGTTTCATTCGAATCAGGCAAGAAATGACAAAGTTATAGGCAGTTTCAAGCTTCCCCATTATAGCCTATGGGTGAAACAGCGAAACAGTTTTAACTAAATGAAACAGAACAGTGCTTTCAAAATGAAATGAAACTCACAACGAAACACTGTCCCATCAAAATGGCAAAATGGAAGTCGAAACAAAGCGGTGCTGTCTCACACAGCCCTAGTTTGGAGTACTTAATGCCTTTTTTGCTTCAGTTTTCACTAAAAAAGTTAACTGTGATTAAATGGCTAATAACACAATGGGCACCAGTGACAAGAGGATACGTCCTCATGTTACTTTGAATTCCAATTTATCAAATCAAGAGCAAGCCCTTATAAAGGGGGATAAGGCAAAATGTCGCATTTATTGATTACATGAATTAGACATAGAGGTTCGGACACACCACTCATAGACACACACATACATTATACAGTACATCATTACATACAGACACCCACAAACACAAAACAACCATTCCATTCTCTCAGAAATTATAGTTACCAGCAGTAGTTGTTCAATAATAGCACTGGGTGGCCAGCCCAGTCCTACTGAGAGAAGATGCACATAGCAGGCAGGGTGGTTATTATGAGAGAGATCCTGGAGATAGCAACGTGGAGCGGGATGAACAGACACATTTGTGCTCCGACGAAACAGCAATTGAGAGAAAGAGACTTACCCAATCTGGCATTTATCAGCGTCATCTTGTATAGGGATTGCCATTCTTTGTTTCAGCACTTCGGGGTTTTTCCATACCCAATTTCTGTTTTTGCAATTGTTCCTCATCCATCTTCTGCTTATCTCAGCCCGAGGTTAGTTTGTTTGTAAAAGTTGGTATTTCAGCCTTGGAGTGTCCTTGCTGCCCAGCTGGCAGGATGTGTGCATTCCTCCGCCTCATTATTTCCTTTGTGCCCTAGGCCTCAAAAGTATTCTTCAGCCATCTATTAATGAGTTTACTGACTGATAACTTACACATTTGGCACTTTGTTGCTTACAAACACAGTTACATCTTCTTTTCCTGTCTCTATGCCATTCTCTCGCCATTCATCTTTTCACATACACTCATACATGAAGGGCATGCAGAGTTCATTCACTTATGTCAAGTAAAAGAATACAAAATGGAGTTTTCAAGTATCTTACAGGACAAGACTAATATGGTTACAATTCACTACTATTACACTCTATGTTAACATCAGCTACACTAGTTCAGTTAATGCCACACTCAGGCCAGAACAGGCTTCTCCAAGTTAGCTGTTTTCAAATCATCTGGGCCTGAGGAACTTCATCCTAGACTACTTAGACAACTGATTAAAGCAATCTCAAATGGATTGTCTTTGAGAACTCATGCAGGATGGGAAAGGCTCTTGAAGATCAGAATAGGGCAACTTAGTGGTACTGCTTAATATCTTTAAAAAGGGGCAAAGGATGCTTACAGACCAGTCAGCCTAACTTCAGCTTCAAGAAACCTAACAGAATAAGCAAGCAAGCAAGCAAGCAAGCAATCTTTTCATATGCACCTAGAAGACAACAAGGTGCTAAGCAAAAGCTAAGGTGGACTGGTCAAGAACATATTAAACCAACCCCGTTTCCTTTTATGATAGCACAACAGGCTTTGGAGAGAGAGAGAGAGAGAGAGAGAGAGAGAAAGAGAACAGTGGGCACTACGTAGCTTGACTTTAATAAGTCTTCTAACACTATCCATCTGGCATTTTCCTAAGCAAGTTAAGGGAGGTGATCTAGATGTAATCACCATCCTCCAGGTACACAACTGGTTGAAGAAAATCAGTCTCAAAGAGTGGTTTTCAATTGTCTCCTATCCTACTGCGAAGGCATCTCATGCCAGGTCCCACAGGGGTCAGTCCTGGACCCAGTTCTATCCAATATTTTCATTAGTGACTGAGATGATAGCATAGAGAAAAACCTTTATTAAATTTCCAGATGATATCAAGCAGAGAGAGTTTCCAAGCACTTTGTAGGGCGAGATCTGGAGGACAAAATGATCTTGACAAATTGGAGAAATGGCATGAAATAAAGACGATGCCATAGGGACAAATGCAATGTACTACATTTAGGTAGGATTAATCAGCTGCACAAATATGAGATAGGGGATGAGTGGCCAGACAGCAGCTCTGCAGCACAGGACCGAAGGTTATAGCTGATCACAAATTGAACGTGAGTCAGCAAAGTTATGGTACCAGCAAGAGCAGCTAACCTTGTTCTGGGAGGAATACATGGAGGTATCATATGTATGAAGTATGCAATAATTCTTCCACTCTATTAAGCTTTGGCAGGGCCTCAGCTGGGGTACTGGTCTGGACACTGCACTTCACTCTGCAACTGGGGAGAGTCCAGAAAAGTGCCACAGAAGTGGCCAGAGGTGCAGAGCCTGTGACCTGGGAGGAGGGACTGAAAGGCCTGGGCGGGTTTGTTCTAGCAAAGAGAAGCCTGAGGGGAGACATGATAACACTCTTCAAGTATGTAAATGGCTGCTGCAGAGAGGAAGGTCATAAATCGTTCCCTGAGTCCACATGGGTTGGACAAGAAGTAATAGGCTTAAATTGCAGCAAAGGAGATTTAGGCTAGACATGGGGCAGTGGTCTCACTAGGGCAGGATGAACAGGGCAACTGCCCTGGCACCGATCTGAGGAAGGGGTGAAAACTAGCAGCTGCTATCAGCAGTCACATAATCTTAAATGCAAGGCAACCAGATGTCACTGCTGTCCCTGGGTGCCCAGCAGCTCCCCAATGCTACTAACAAGGAAACACTTTCTAGGGAGAAGGGTAATCAAGCACTGGAATAGGGCACCCAAGGAGGGGTCTTCATCCTTGAAGGTGCTTATGAGCAGGTTACAATGTCAAGCATATCACATCTATGCAAAGAACCTTGCCTGTCTATGTCCTTAGACCAACACGGCTACAACCAACACCCCTCAGGCATTGGTGACGTGTAGGGGGTGCACGCGGGTGCACATGCACCCTCTGAGATTGGTGGTGCACCCCCTGAGAGAAGCACTGCTGACACTGCTGGTGGTGCCTGCGGGCAGTTGTTGCTTGCCACCCCCCTTCCCTCACCATTGCCGCAGCCACCTGTGGGAGCTCCTCGCTCACCACCACCACACCCACGCCGCTGCTATCGCTGCCGCCACCTGCGGGTGGTTGCCGTGTCCCCCCAGCCTCTGGGGGCACACGTTGTTCATGGTACAGTTACAGGTTTAAACAGATCACCAGTCACTGACACCATTGGCAACACATAGGGGGTGCACACGGGTACACGTGCACCCCCTGGAAGCACCAGCCATGAAACCAGAAGTGTCATCAGAAATGCACCTTCAGGTTCACTGCTGGCTCGATGATTGGCCACTGGAGGACCACACACCCCTTCTCCCTCCCACCTCCCGTCAGCGATCTGGTGCCCCTCCAGACTCGGGAGGTACCAGTTGCCCATGCCCTGAGGTATGTCTTAGCTATCACTGGCCCTGCCTTGGGCCCAGGGTATGAACTGGGTCTCTTCCAGCCCTGTCTTCCATCCATATGTCCTGTTTCCCCCTGCTCGTGTGATAGAGGCCAATAGGATGGGACTTAACACAGGCAACTCAACAAGAGGCAGTGACTGGAGCAGGTTGAGACAGGGGTGTTTAGTCTGAAGTCAGGCAGAAGGCAGGGTAGATTTGCACCTCGTAGACAAGTCAATAAGATATCCATAGAGCATAAGCTTTCATGAACTCAAGCTTGTTGCATCTGATGATGGAACGAGACAAACCACAGCAAACTCCCCGGCTTGTTAATAGGGCTGTTGATTGTAGCTGTGTTGGTCTAAGCACATAGGCAGACAAGGTTCTTTGGGTAGGTGTGATATCTTTGTCTAATAAAAGATATCACGTCTAGCCAAAGAACCTTGTCCAGCTTGTTAATAGCTGCTACCCTGGAGGCTGCTTCAATCCTTCTTGTCAGCAGGAAATGACAGCAGAGTGAGGACAGCAATTCTGATGGCAACTGCAAGCATGAGAGAGGGGGATTGCTAGCCCAGAAGATCTGTCTGAACATGGATTGGGCTTAATTGCTCTCACGTTCACTTTCATCACAGACATGACACTGTTGCCTGGGGAAATCTGGTTGTTTGCAAGGACCAGGAGCAACATGTGTTCTTGCTTGACTGTCCCTTTAAAAAAATCCAAGGATGTGCCACTAGGATGTCAGTGACAGGCAGATGCTATCCAATTACATCCCATCTGCATGGGGAATGGCTTGTGTGTGTGCACCAGAGCGAAGGAAGGGAAGCCCAGGGATGGGGCAAGGCAGGCAGAGCAGGCAGCAACAAGTGGTGGCCTGGGTTTAAGTCCCCTCCAGCAGCATTGTTGGATCCCAAGCACAGGCAGGTAGAGCAGGCTGCAGGGGCAGCACTGCCTCCACGCTCTCCAGCTGAGGAAGAAGAATAGCAAACTCTGAGACAGCAAGCAAATGGAGACAGACACTTCTCACCTCAACTCAGGTATTGTGCCTTTTAGTTTCTGATTTGAAAGAGTTACATGCAAATAACAGGTCAGCAAAGTAGCCGGCTGGTGCTGGGGAGGGGAGGGGGAGGGAGAGCAAAGAGATTTGCAAGCAGATCCCTTCCATAATTATTCTCTGCAAAGTGCCCCTTTCCAGCCTAAGCAACTGAGCATATTGCAGGCGGGTATATTTGGAAACCGGCGCTGCTCTGACATGAGCTGTAACTAGATTAACTCTTGAGCCAAACGTTTTAAGGCAGCTCTGGAAAACGCAGACACAATTGTTCTTCCCAGCAAAACAGGGTGAGACAGAGCAATCAGTCCGTGCCGCCTCGACTGACAAACACACCCCTGAGCCCTCTGTATAATCAAACTTCCAGCTCTCTGTGCTGAAGTCCTTGCCGATTTAAGAACGCATGTGCTTCAGTGTTTGACTGGCTAAGGGCCAGGCCCAGGAAAGAGCTGACATGCCCAAGAAGGACTTAGGTGGAATTGAGAGCAGTCCTGGGATCCCCAGATCCCCTTGGCTGCTGTCGAAGCCCAGAAGCACCTCCGCTTCGGAGGCACCTTTGGAGTTCCCCAGGTGCCCGGACTCCCAGTCGGAGCAGTTCAGCATCTGCCGTGTGCTACCTAACCGCCCTGAGGAGCCCAGTAACACAGGGCTTTTCAGAACACAGGATCCCCCTGTGAAGACCCAAAAGGCAGTTGTGGCCACTTTGAAAAGCTAGCCAGCAGGGAGGGTACTCACCTTTCATGTAAGGTCCCCCTGGCTACAGAGGTCACCCAGAGGGTTGAGTTCCCTCCTTGGATTGAAGGGATACAAATCCACTTCTCCCACCTCTACAGAAAGTGCCACAGCCACCAAGGTAGAGGCTAGTCCCTGGGACAGGGGCACCCTCCACCCCTCCAGTAGATGCTGCTCCACAGTGCAGCAAAGAATGCAAGGTCCATTGTGCCAGAGAAAGGCAAAATGTCCACGTGTGTCTGTTTGCTGGTGCTCAGAGCATTCATTTCAGGGAAGCGCAGGAGGCCTGGTTCCTGCTCTCAGGACTGTCAGGCCCTTTATTCACTGCTGGTTAATATAAAATGCACAAACTGTATCAGGAGCAGGGCCCAGAACCAAGGCCTCCCTGGCAGGTAGAAACAACAGCCTGGTGCTCCTGGTCTCACCAGGAAGGTCCGGCAGGGTGAGTACAGAATTCATGGCAGCTGCTTCCATAGACGAGCTTCCACCTTTTGCTCTGTGTGCTAAGACTGAGCTTGGAAACTGTGCACTGGACAGTGGTGAGTAAGGAAGCAGTGCTTGTCAGAGCAGTGTTGGGAGGCCCAGGGACCAGAAGACACCTCTGTGAAGCACGAGCCCTGCCCTGCATCCCATCTTGTGCCAGGCCCTATGGGCATGTTGGTTTCAGCATTGCCAGCTCACTCCGACTGTGAGACTGGTAATAAGGAGGGAACAATACACACTGTAACTCCGGTGTGGCTCGACAGGGGTGCTCTCATGCATGCTGTGTCCACCTGTTCCTGCTCTCACCCCACCCCTGCCCCCCCAAACCTGGAAGTGTGGGGGCTAAGCTGCACTGAGGGTGCCCTCTATGGCAACTCTGAGATCACATGGGGGATACTCGCACACAAGGTTCACCAGCACACCTCTGGGTTTGCTGGAGGTGAGGGGCAGGGCATGCACGAGGGCAGCTCTCTCAGGATGCACCTAGCATGTATTTTTTCTTAAAGTGGCACCTCCTGGAGTCCTGCTGCCAGAACGGCAACGTTCACTTTTAAATGGCCGGTTTCCTGGTGCAGAGGGAACCTGGAGGCTCCCACATGAGAAGGCAGCTCCAGAGAGCCCCACCTCTTGTTATCTTTTGCCATGTTTCAGCCTGTCTTGCAATTTTCCAGCATTTGACCAGTGACCCTTTTTTTTTTTTTAACCACGTGGAAGCTGTCAGGGAATTTCCCTATCCCCTGCCTCCTTGCCATCCTTTTCTACCTGAAGGGAGGGCTCTGGTTCTGGGTAGGCTGTGCAGAAGGATGAATGTTGCTTCTGGGTATCTGCACCTCCCACCCCCAACTCCAGCCTGGAAGAATGAGCCCCATTTATTTGAAAATCTGAGAAATGCAAAGAATTAACTTGAATCCAAAGCAAACCCCAGCTTGAAATGGGGAGAGCCGAGGCTGTCAGGATGTGGCCTCTTCTTTCCGTGTTACAGCTTTATAGCTAAACTGCCACTTGCTGTGCAAATGTAGGTCACACAGAGACGTTTAAGCGTTGAACAGCGTTCAAGAAAAGTGACGTCTGTTCCCCCCCACCCTCTCTTCTTTTCCCCCCTTCAGATAGGAAAGAATACCCTTTGAAAGACAAGTAAAGAGAGTGAAAGACTTGGTTTCAAGCAATCCATTTACAGACCAAATCCTCGGTGCCCAGGGATGAGAGCGGTGGAATTCAGATTCAAATGATCTCCCACCAGGATTAAAGTTCACCCAGCAACCATGCAGAGGCATCAGCTAGGGACACAGTGATCAGTATGTTCCTGACACGCCTGTCCTCCCCCTTTGCACAACTCCTGGTTACAAACGTGTTCTTCTCTCTCCTCCTGGGCGTCCCTCTGAGTGTCTCTTGCCCACAACGGTGTCAGTGCACGGACCACTCTGGAGCAATGGCTGTCCTGTGCAGCTCCAGGCATCTGGAAGAAATTCCACAGGATATTCCCAAAGACGCTGTGTACTTGAAGCTTGATGCTAACAAAATCACTAAAATACCCAATAATGCTTTCAAGCACCTGAATCACTTGGAAGAGCTGGACCTGTCCAGAAACGCCATTGAGAAGATAGACATGGCAGCTTTCAAAGGGGTGGCAGATGGGCTACAGATGCTGGACCTTTCCAACAACCATATCCAGAGCATTCCCAAGGAGGCCCTGGTCAAACTGAACGCCAAGATTCGCTTGTCCAACAACCCCTGGCACTGCGAGTGCACTCTGCAGGAGGTGCTGTGGGAAGTGAAACTGGACCCAGAGTCAGTGAACGAGATTACCTGCCAAACGTCTGTGCGAGAGGAATACGTCGGGAAGCCGCTGGTCCAGATCCTGGACTCTGGGGTCAATTTCTGTAACATACGCCAGAAGACCACGGACATTGCCATGTTCATCACCATGTTTGGCTGGTTCACCATGGTGATCACCTACGTTGTGTATTACGTCCGACACAATCAGGAAGATGCCAGGAAGCACCTAGAATACCTGAAATCACTGCCTAGCACCCAGGTCCCCAAAGAGACCATCAGCACCATCCTGTAGCAACAAACACCAGGCCCCTCATGCAACACTCAGCTCTAGGATAGAAACCATGTTGGGGGTGGGGGGCGGGAGAAGCCATCTGTTTCCTACCTGATTGCTAAAGCTTTTCTACCAGGTTTGTATGAGCTGTTTAATAGAAGGGTGAAATTGTATTTTGTAATAAGCTAAGTTATGACCAACAGCTTCTATAAAAAACCTCAGGTCTCTTATTTACCTGATATCACTCACTATCCCATTCTACCGGTTGCCAAATGAGACCCCACAAAGTACATTCTGGTCTTTGCAGAAAGCAGGAGAGCAAAACCAAATACTGGTAGTGCTATGACATGAATGTCCCTGCTGTCTCTGGGAGTGGTTTTCCAGAGAACAGCACGTGTGTTCAGAGTTCAAAGGCATTCAGCATTGGCAGGAAGCACAGCAATGCCAAATACAACAGTCGGGTCAGCTCACATCCGGCGCTTTCACTACGTGACTGGCACAGGGGCCTTCCTCTCGCTCCTATCCTGCGGTCACTGCCATGGACTGAGCTGGGAGCAGGAGCAAAGAAACAGGCCCACCACTCCAAGTCCACCAGAAGCAGAGAGCTGGTGAGTGGGGAGGTTGTGGGGTGGGTGGACTGGGCCCACTGGGGCAGAGCTAGGATGTGGCCAGGGCTTTGGTGATTAACAGCAATGAAGACATGGGGTGAATGCAAGGGGTGGGTTGCTTCTGCTGCCAGCATGCACAGGGATCAGTTGAAATTTGCCTGGGAAGAAATGGAGATCAGAGGCCAGCAATCAAACAGGAGCAGCCACATAGTGCTAGAGAAGCTGGTGTGCATGTGCCCCATGGCATGGCTGAGACAGGGAGCATGGCTGGAAACTGCCGTGGGCTGCATCCCACCCCTGAGCGAGACAGGCGCAAGACACCCTTGCAGCTCTCCCTGAGCAGCTGCCAGCAGCTGGGGTGGGTGGGGGGGGAAAAGAGGAGGGCACGGCTAGCTCTAAAACAGCTAGTAATGAAAGCATTCACGCCCACACTCACCCACATGCTCGCAGGCCCATCTGGCTCAGGCATGCCATGCGCTCAGGGAGAGAGAGAAGCAGGATCTTTCCCACCCCGTCTCCCTCCACCAGTGCCAGCCCCAGAGCTCAGAAGCCTGAGTCAGGCCTCGAACATCAGGAGGCTTTTCTTTCGCCCATACCCTAGGCTGACAGGGCTGCTGGCTTTGGAATGGCCCGAGCAAATGGGAGACCATGGTGGTCACCACTCCTCCGGCAGCACGCACCAAGGCGATTGCTGGGACCATGGCAGGAAGCCTTGGAGCCACTGAGGCTGGGGGAGCTCCCTGTCCATCTTCAAGAATCGGCTAATTTCTCCCCATATAGCTTCCCTGGATGTGTCACACAGGGCCGGCACCATCCGTGTTCAATTTCTCTTGCTACCATGGTGTGCGTGCGCCCACGTGAATGCATATCCAGCCATGAGGACAGGTGACCCTACTTCTACCTGCTGTTGATGATTCCTACGCCTTCTTCTGCAGCAGGCGGGTGCCGGTAGAGACAGGATCCTGGATGCGACGCACCCTGGATGGGACAGTCCTGAGGGCAGGTGAGTGCCGCCCTGAGATCCTGGCCTCATGGTGGAAGGCAGCGCCCTGATGATCTGTGAGGTAAGCACCCGTCCTCATTGAGTCTTAGAGAAGTGGGGCTGGAAGGGACCTCCAGCGGTCACATCTCATCCCATCCCTTGCCTGAGTCAGGATTAGCTCTGTCCAAACCATCCTGGACAATCCATAATCTAAAACTCCACATAAGATGGACATCAACCCTGACCCAGCACAGACCTAACATCCAAACCTGCCACGGGGAAAGCAGGGGGACCACGGCAGCCAGTGTCCTGCTGCTATGAAACGAGATCCTGGGTAGAGGGCCATCCCTTCCGCTACAGAGGAAGACAAACCCCTTCCCCAGTCCCTACCAATCTGACCATGGGCTAAAACTCCTTCCTGATCCCAGATATGGCATCGGTTAGACCCCAAGCAGAGGGGCAAGACTCTCTAGCCAGGAATGTCTGACTTTGGTGCCATTAGGAGCATTGGCACAGCCCAGTCAGTCCCCAGCCTTGGCTGTAGACAACACGCAGTGCCTCTGAGGAAGGTTATTAAACACTCTGAAATATGTAGCAGAAAGGGTGCGGGGAGGCATGGGGGCAAGCAGCAAAGCCCAGAAGCCTGGAAAATCCCCATGGTAGAACATAGGCATCACTACGCCTAGATCATCCCCTCTAGTGGCTGTTCAGGCTCTCCTTGAACACTTCTAGTGACAGAGTCCACAGCTTCCCTGGACACCTATTTCACTGCCTCCCTGCTCTTCCCATGCAGAAGTTTTTCCAGATATCCAAGCTAAACCTACTTTGCTGCAGCTTCAAGCCATGGGTCTGCATCCTCCTCTTTTCAGTGAGAGAGAAAAGGCACTTTCCCTCTCCTTTATCATGGTGGTCAGACCCAGTGGCCATCCTCCTGGCTCTCCCTGCATGAGCTGTTGCTGTGGCTTTGCTGTCTGCCATGCATGGCATATAATGACATGTGTGTCAGGAGCATGTTGCAGCTCAGGGAGGTCCCAGCAGAGATTGGAGCCTCAGCTGTACAGCCCTCCAGAAAGCTCCTGGGTCCTGCTGTCCCCCTGGCTCTCCTCCATATACCTCCCCAATCATCTGCCTCCAGCCCCATATCTTCTCGTCCAGCTCCACAGCTCCTACCCCCTCCCCTGATGCCCAGTTCCACCTCATCTCCCCCTGCCGGGGGCCAGAAACCTCCCTGCCCTCCAGGGCCCTTCGGAGGCACATCACCGCTGTCTGAGATGTGAGCTCATGAGTACAGGAGCTGCTACAATGGCAGGTCTCCTTCTTCCATATCCCCAAGCTGCTCACACCAGGCAGGTTATCATGTAGCTAGGCCTAAGCTCTCTGCAGCAACTCGTGGCTCGGGGAGACTTTGCAGAAGCACTGAGCACCCTGTGTCTGTAGACGTGGCTTCTTTTTTAGCATAAACTGTACTACCCACAACCATTTGTGCCACTTGAACAGGCAGGCTCTGGGTTTGCAAATCACCCTCTTTTTGAGATGTGCATTTCTCCTCCTTCTACTGTCCTCCAGGCCCGAAGTCACCACCACTGCAGTTCCAACAGTAAAGCACGGAGCACTGAAGCCAGGGCCCAGCCTCACTCCTGCTTCTTGTTCTCCTGGCTGCAGATACATCATCGATTAAATAACGGCATGAAACCACCGTGGGTGCGTGTGTCATGGAACCAGGACCCAGCTCCCCTGGCGAGGCTCCTGTACAGGGAAGGGCATGTGCTCATGCTCCATTTCAGGAATGGATGACTTACGAGCAAGAAAGCAGGATGTTATTGTGCAATTTAACTCAAGTGCCTCCTCTGCCTGGCTGCTGTGCCTCTACCTGGCCCCCAAACACTGTTGATTTTCTAACACCCACATTTTCAATAAAGTCCTATCCAAATACACAATTCCGCTGGCTCTTCAGACCTTTTCTGCCGAAGTCTGGATACATCCTGGGAAAGCCTAACATGTGTCTATCAGGCAGTGGCCCCAGCACCTATCCTAAGTTGAGTAGAGGAACAGGGCTTCTCACAGCAGCCCTGGCGAGGGTAAAGCTCATGGAGGACCTAATGAGAAGGGGCTGTCACCTGTTTTGTCCCTGCTCAGCCAGGCATTATGAGCCTTGCAAGGAGTGGCATCTTGCATTTCCCTCTGTCCTCCCCACTTCTCTGGGGCTAAAGGGTGACAGGTGGGATAGAAGGAAAAGGAGCCCAGCCTGTGCCTCCCCACATGCTGGCCTGAACATCGGGGAACATGCCCACCTCACACTGCCAGTGGGGCAGTGTCCCAAGAGGGTACTGGCTTAGCCCTCCCCTATTGCTATGGACATCCAAGGGCACATGTATACCCCTTCAGGCTCACATGCTCACTTCAGGCCAGCAGACTGCAGTGCTCCCTCTCTGCATTTCACCCCAGGGATCCCTTCCTTGGGCTCAGCATGTCTCTACTCACCATTCAGGGCTGTGATCTCAAGTAGCTGAAGATACCTCCTTGCAGCTATGACTGAGAAGCCAAGGTGGTGGAAATGGCTGGGGTTTGAGATGGACCCTGTTCCCAGCTTGCTGGCTGTTGTGGACTCCACTTTGAGGCAGCATGCCCTGTGTATGGAGCCTTGTTTCCATACCAAGGACTACACTTGTACCTAGTTCCTTCTCTGGATTGGGCTGTGTGCCTCAGATCCCCATCTGCACGTGAGGGATGATAACACTCCTTATATTATCTGTCCCACCAAGGGCATGATATCTTTGGGGCAGGCTCTCTGTGTAGGGAGGGCCCCATGTCAAGGAGGGTCAGGATAAATGCCTCTAGCAGAGATGAAACAATGGGGTAGCAATAACAACAGGTATGGCCAAGCCTTTTTGAAAGGAGCCGAGGTCTCAACAGCCAAGGATACCACTGAAAAGCAAAGAAGCCTGAAAGCGATGAGCAGCGTTTGTCTACGGCTCTTTGCAAATTCGGCCGTAGCTGGCTGGGTGGCGGGGTGGAGCAGGAAAGACAAACTCCACTAATTCAGTTAAAAACAGAGGATCGCTCGGGGGCCGCTCACCAGGAGAGGGAACGAGAAACGCTGCCGAGAGGATTCTGTTCTGTCGAATGTTGTGCATTTGTAACCTAGGCAACAAGTGCTTGCAGCAATATTTAGCACCAGGTTAGTGTGCACAGGGACCTTCTGGAGTTGGGCTGCAGGCATGCCGGTGCCTTGGTTTCAGAAAAATAACCGCATTTGTTACATCTCGTGGAGCCCAGAGGGAAAGGATTCTCAAGTCTCAGCTAGAGTGCCTTGAAAAGGCACAGGGCAGGCAATCACCCTTGCTGTCCTAGACACAATGCTGGGAAAGAGGAAGACAGAAGCCTAGAGGTGACTGAATGAAGGCATAAAGCAGGGGAGGAAAATAGCATGAGAACAGAACTGAAAAGAAAGGAAACCCCCATGGAAAGAAAAACAGAAGACACATGGGTGGTAAAATAAAGCCCTTGGAAACATGGCACTTACCCATGCAGTGAGGTAGAGCTTCTGGGGTCAGGGCATCTGTTGATTATAACCGTCATCATCACTAATACTATTAGTCTGATAGTAGTTCCTAGAGGCTCCGAGCCAGGGACAGGAGGCCATTGTGTTATATGCTGTACACACATAGCAGAAATGATCCCTGCCCCAAACAGCTTACTTGTAGGAGCACAGGCAATAGCCACTGTCTCACAAACTGCCTCCCTTCACCCCACAGCTGTAGGCTAGCTGCATTTTGTATCATTCTTTACCTCTTGTGTGTCTGAGTGACACCTCACATTGCAGGACACTTAACAGAAAATATAGCCAAGAATCATCATAACCAACCAGCATACTCCTAACCTTCAACCACGTATTTTGTTATGGAAATTATGGCTGAATAATCTGACCCTCCCCGTAAGTCTGATCCAAAACCCATGGGCGTCTTTCTATTGACTTCATGGGGCTTTAGAACTGGCCCTAAAAGTTGCCCTCCTCTGAATACTCAACAAGTCAGGAATTTTTCAATAAAACTTGTTTTCCATTGGGAAACGCTAGATCTTTAATTTTTTTTTTCCCCCAACAGGAAAAAACAGTTGATTTGAATGAGGTTTTCATGCTAATTCTCTCCCCCTTTTTTTTTTTTTGGAAGAGTTCCAAAATTGTCAAAACATCTTGTCACAAGATTTTTTAAACAGAAAAATCTTTTTTTGTTGTTGTTATTTTCAGATTTGTTCATTTCTAATGAGACATGCACAAAAACCAGGCAAAATCCAAACAAAATGCTTTGAAATAACTGAAATTAAATGTTTTGCTTCACCCAAAACATTGGCACAGATTGTTTTTTTAAAAGAGATTTCCCCTTTTCATCCTAATTATAGCAGGAAAATCTTCCCAAGCCTTGAAAAGTGCTCTGGCCCTGGAAAAACTGTCCAGCCATGCCCATTATATCAGACGTGCAGAGTGGCGAGACACGAAGGAGCATGTTTCTGTGGATTATGGGCCGGGTGTGACAAGACTCAGGTGGAGGGTCCTTCGGCCCCACTGCAGTCAGACCTGCCATCCCAGACCCACGCAGAAACCTCCCAACCCCCCCTCCTGCCATGGCTTGCTGGAAAAAAGAAAGGTAGTTGAGGAGGCATCTTGCCTATGCTCAAAGCAGAGGGAAGGGGAATGAAACCAGGGGAAGGTCTTACTGCATGGCAGGACTCTTGGCATCTACTGGGTCATGAGTGTCATATTGGACCTAGCTTGTTCCAGGCCCTGGTCACTCTCATCTAAACACCACCTCTCTTTTTCCTCAGTCTGTCCCTAGCTCTGTGCTGCTTCCACCCTTCTGCCCCTTCAGGGACTAGAGCCCAGGACCTCAGGCTGTGCAGCCATACTACCCAACCCCTTAAGGTACCAGAGCTGGTCCTTTGGACCTGACCCCAGTTCAGTTCCTGTCCTCAGACTGTCCTGCCTATGGCCGTAGCCTTCACTTTGGGAAGGGTATCAGTCAGGATGTTGGTGCACCCTGTTATGCCACCTACACATCTCTACTTACGGCCACTCCCATCCCACCAGGTATCCGTTACACAACAAAAAAGGGGGAAAACCTCCACTTTAAATTTCTGCCTGCCTAAATAGACACTGTCTTCACTCAGGGCTTTGCCCACTGGCTTGCTGCCCAAAAGTAAGGAGCAAAGGAGACCTCTCAGTAGAAACTTACTCCCCCTCTGGGGTTACTCACAGTGTCCAGTAAGGCCTCTCATCCATCAGGCAGAATCAGTCCAGCCTTGTGCACATCCAGGGCTTGACTGCTCCTCACTCACTCCTGGGGCAGGCTTTTGTCTCTCCTAGCCATGCCCCCTTCCAGTCATGGGACCTATTCAGGGGCACCTGGCCCTTGCTGGCCCCAACAGGGTCTTTCCTCTCCAATCTTCATAACAGGGTCTTGACTCCCTGTTGAACAGAGGTGCTAGTCCCTGATATTATTATTAACAATGCATAACACCTCCTGCTAGAATCAACTGAAAATGTCACAGAACTTCCCATGTGTTGGCTGAAATTTTCCATGCCAGATGTCTGCCTTTTTTGGAGGGGGGGTAGGAGATGTCAGCCAATTCAGTTCAGCTTCCCTAAGGATGAAGCTGGGGGGGGATATGTTATTTTACCCAGGTGAAATAAAATAGTCCTGCTGACCTTTTCTTTGGAAAGTTCTAGGTGCCCCCAAACTTTGTAGGCTTGGAATTTGGCAGGGATGTGGCCTTGATGTCAGAGACACTCCTTCACTGTCTCTGGGGAAAACTCCACCAGTCTGGCCAAGTTATAAAGCTCTGAAAAATTACAATCCACTGTGCTTAGTGGTAACTTCTTAGTTGGCTAGCTCAAATTGCTGAAACTCCATCCTCAATGAGTATGCGCCATCTTCTTCTGGCATCTATATTTGATTTGACTGCATATAGGGCAGCCTTTGGAAATGATGGACTAAGCTCCACCTCACTGCTACGGAGGCTAAGATGGGTTAAGAAGAAAGGGATGAGAAGAACTGTAAGAGTTGCTCCAAGTCATGGTAGGGCCAGGCACCAGAACTTAGAGCAGGGAGCCTGTCCTCCTTTCCTCTCAATGGTAT